TGTGGTTTGGATGGTTTGAAGCTGGGTGTACTGATACAGATTAGAATTAGCACACTGAAACCCTTTGCAGATTAACATCTTGTATGTTCAAAACTACCAGTTGCTGGGCAAACCCATTAGAGAGGAGACTTATTATTCCTTGAATATTAAAGACAGCATAAATCTTAAAACAACATTTCTGTGCTTCTTACAGTATTTAGCCAGAATGTGGCAGTTGTGCCAACTTCAGTGCTGTTGGAATTTAACCAGGCAGCTGTACCTATCTGGGATGTTTGCTTTCTCTCTAGAGAAACCGATTTAATCAAACACTCCTAACAAACTTCAGCTGTTGTGAACTTCAAGGGCTCTCAGGAACTCCCCCTTATAATGTTACCGCTAACCTAACAGGAGACTGGGGATGGTATTTTTGCCCTTTATGGAGTCCATCCTTCTAAACCATCGTAGTGATTCCAACTTCATATCCATCCATGGTTGCCATTGAATGCAAAAGCATCTATAGTGAGCAGGTTATTCAGTCACCTGTTACTTTGTTTTTTTTTCCTTTAAAAAGGAACATCTTTTTCTGCTAGCTATAGCCAAAACTAGAAGCTGGACAAGTAGAACCTCTAGGTTGACCCATGATGCTACTCTCCAGCCTCTAGAGATCATAAAAAAAATCCCAAACTTCTCCCCTTATGAGACACAGAAAGGTTTTGGTATTAACAAGAAGGAAAATATTCCCAGAGCAATGTAGTCCTGCTCCCCTCCAAGACACATTTCACAAAGTGATACACATACGCCTTTACCTTCTCTACACCAGTTTAAATAGGCCAAATGCTGTGCTATCAATGTGCTCTGTGTATTTTTTTTTTAAATAAAGTACAAACATTTCCAACAAGGTACCCTGAACATAGGTTTATTTGCCAAACATGAAAAAAGGAGGTGGCTGCCTCTCTTCTTGGTTACAGTTACAGGCAAGTGTTTTCTTTAAAATGGAAAAACAATGAATAGACTCCTCAGCTCTTCATCTCTCCTCTCTGCACAACTCGTTCGCTGCCCCCACCCTGATCCCATGGTGTTCTTCTTAGACTTGGGACAGGGTGGGATTTAGTGAGCTCTCCTTGTTAAAACATTGGCAGTACATCAATAATCTCTAGTTATTTTGGAAAACAAGGGGAACTGGGCTGTTATCTCATTGGAAACTATGGCTGCTGAGAAGGCATAACATGTTTAAGCAAAAGTTTTACCCCCTGTTTGCAGTACTCGGGTTTTCTGCTTGTGCATAGAAACTCTACTGATATGATACTTCTGTTATGTTTTTGGTTGTCTGTTGTGTCGGTGGTCTGGTGGCTTTTGGACTGGCATATGAAATTTCCATTGATTTCAGCCAGGCAGGAATATCTGAATTCAAGGAAAAATGTTGCCCAGAAGACTAGCGTATTGTATTTCCAGATGATTAACGCTTAATTCCTCTGCTGTCAAACTTACTGACTATTTTCAGTCAATTGATGCTTTATTGTGCCAAGATTCCTGCTTCAGGGCACTTCGGAGCACTCAAAGCGAGCCAAAGAGCAGAAACCAAATCAAAATTGCATTTTAAAGGCTACTAGAATATGTATGATAGAGACATTAGCTTTTCCTTTTCCTCCTCTGTTCATTGGCAGGGCTTATTTCCTTCCTTTGCTTTGCTACAACAGCAGACTTAATTTGTCATTTGGTAGCTGAGTATCGCACGGCTTTAGTTCACCCTGGTACGGCAGCGCGTATCGGATGTTCTGAGGCCCCGTGGAGCCCTCCCTCCCGTAGAGAAGAGTCTGTGAACAAGCTGCCGTGGTCAAAATGGACCATCCAGGAATGGCTTCACGGCACCACAGTGGTTTAGAGACCCTGCCTGGGGAAGTGGGTAACCCCATGCTGCCAAAATACCTACTCGGTTGTATTTAGAAACATCGGCTGGCTGCTATACGTCCATACGACGTCCTGTAGCATTTGCTCACCCTGTGCGGCGCGCAGCTTTCCAAGGGCTCACGCTGTTAAAGCACCAGCTTTAGGGCTACAGCTCCCACGCTACAGCAGCTCCAGTGGAATAAGGTTAATGCGGGGGTGACCCCAAAGGAAACATTTGGATGATTTAAACCAACAGGTTCAATTCTGTTAGAATGGAGTATTTCATTTAGATGTTCCCCAGGAAAGCTAAAGGAAAAAATCAGTAATACTGACATTTTCCTGGGGGGAAAAAGAAAAAAAAAGTCACTTTACAGAAACCGCAGTCTCTGCTGGAAAAGATTTTGAAGGAAAATTCCTGAGCAGATGCAGCAGAACCCTTCAGGAGCTCACTAATGCTGCAGTGTTTACTAATGCTTAGTGGTTTGTCAGTGCTTCCATTTGAAATCCTTTTTGAAGGGTCTTACAACAAAGCCATAAAAAATCACCTTGGAATCAAATGGAAATGCAAAGCCTCATCCTGTTTGTTTGTTTTTTTGAAAATCTGCATTTAGAAGGACCTTTTTTAATCATTTTAAATGCTGCAGAGAGACATCAAAAAAAAAAAAAAGCAAGTGCCCGTTTGAATCAGTATCCTTGCAATTTTAAGAAAGCTTCATTTGAAACCCCTAGTTTCTTAATTACCAGCACTTAAAGTTCCATTACTTTCCAATCCAACGAGACTTTTTACTAATAAATGACAGGATATTTCTTCTCCAAATGTTTAGTAAAATCAAAGAGTTTTGGGGGCAGGGGAAAGTGCTGCTCATGCCAGCAGAGTCACCGAGTGTCCCGAAAGTCCCCGCTGCTCTCAGTGCTGACAGTTTTCTAGTGAGCACAGTCTGCCAAAACCCGAATACGGTCCATCCAGGTGAGGACTGGATTAACCAATCAACCTATGATTTGTTTCTCTGATTTTTAGACCCATCCAATAGCAACTATTTGCATTCTCACGAGTCCTGAGGCCCTGCCTTTATTAAGTGCACTTAGCTCAAAGCAAAGGCATTAGATTATGAGCTGCTGAAATGTATTTCATTGTGTAAAAAGTAAAACAAAGGTTCGTACTGTTTGCTAGGTCAGGCAAATAGAAACCTCCGGTGGCACAAAGTGCCTGAACCTGAATATTCCTCCAAACCATGCAATTTTTCCTAAACCTTTGCTTTTCTTTGCTGTGTAGCATCACCAGTAAGCTAGAAGAATGTCAGTCTTTTGGACACTGTCCTCTCCGTGCCTCGAGGCACACCTCTGCCTTTGCTTTCCCTGTTTTGCTGTAATTTAACCAGGCTCTTCCAAGTGCATCTCAGTAGTTTCAGAGTCTTTAATTTTTCTTGTCAACAGAGAAGGGATTAATTTTGCAACTCCCCACTCATTAGTCATTTTCCCCATAACGTGGAGCAATTTCCGATTTTGCATGGCTAAATCTAGCCCATAATGTCTCCTTCAGATACAGCATCCAGGGGTTACTTCATAGAATCATGGAATCACAGAATCACAGAATGCTTTGGGTGGGAAGGGACCTTCAGAGCCCACCCAGCCCAACCCCTGCAGTGCCAGGGACAGCTTTAACCAGAGCAGGGTGCTCACAGCCCCGTCCAACCTGGCCTGGGATGGTTCCAGGGATGGGGCATCTCCCACCTCTCTGGGCAACCCCTTCCAGTGCCTCACCACTCTCAGTGTAAAAAGGCAAGAAAGAAATACATGATTATTCTCTCCTCCAGAATGAGTTCAGAAACTCACTCTGTCCTAATTTAGTGCGGATATGGGTTCGTTGATTCTTCTCACCCAGTTCAAAGGAACTGCTTTTCAGTTCTGCATGCTTCAGAGTCCCCGCTTTAATAAACACGCGGTAATGTATACCGTTGTTTTGACAAGAGGCACCAGTTATGCCGAAATCTTACCCCCAGCAGCCGGAGCAGGTGCTCTCCAGCCAAGCCGCCAGGCTGCCTGCGCGAGCCAGCAGCAGCCGACAGGAGCCTGATTGCGGAGTTCAGCGACGCTGCTGCTGTCGCGGTGGAGGATGGTGTTTGAACGTGTCCGAGGGGAAGTTGAGACGGCTGCCTTTGTCTTGCCATGGCTGGGAGCAGAGCAGGTTTTAACGAAAAGCGGGTGAAATAAAGTCGGTTTATTCTTTTTCTGAATCCCAGTAATAGCCAACTAATGGCTCCTATTCCAGGCACAGTGGAGCCTGTATTTTTTTAGCAGGGATAGCCCTGTTTGATGGGTGTGACTGGACCTGAAGCAGTTTTTGGTGTCAGCAGGCGGTACCGTACCCGTATTTCATACAGCACAGCTTCCCTGGGCCGAGGCTGTGGGACAGCTGTAGTCAGACCGGAGCACAGCATCGGTAATTGC